TCTAAGGACTGAACTATTAGTTCTACCAGCTTTCATGTTAGTTCTGTCATCTCTTACGTTAGTTCTACCCGCTTTCGTGATATGTTATCTCCTACGTTAGTTCTGTTCGCTGCCATATTAGTTTTGTCCGTTCTACCTTCTTTATGAGAACATTATAAACAACAATATCAGGATGAACACAATTTTTAAGCATCATTCTTAAAGTTTAAACCCAGCAATTAGATTGCTATGCTTGCACAAGCAATCGACCAAACTACAGTATGCTATGGCATCTGGCATAAATCCCCTTTTTAGTATTTGAAAGAAAATTATTGCTGCTTCCTTCAACATTCCTTGCACAGCCACTCCCTTGAGAAGGATGGTGAAAGTAACTACATCAGGTATGAGCTTGTGTACCCCCAATTGTCTATAGATTTTATGTTGGTGAAAATAACTGCATGAATTAGAACTAGAACTAACTTGCTCTTTAAATATATATTGTAGGTGTAGTGGTTTGAACTCCTGACCTCCTCTCCAAATTCCCAAGCTTTACCAATTGACCAAGTAGCCAAAGTGTTAATGTTAGTTCCACTTAAAGTTAGCTCTTACTTGCCATTAGAACTAACATGAAATAAGTTAGAACTAACATGAGTTAGCTAATGATAGAGTTTAAAAAAGGTCATAAATAACTAGAGTTAGCTCATGTTTTGTTAGGTCTATTGTTTGTTTTGTTAGTTCTATTGACTATTTTGTTAGTTCTATTAGGTACAATGTCTGTTTTGTTAGTTCTATTGTCTGTTTTGTTAGTTCTAATGCTCAGTGTGTTAGTTCTAATTGACTGTTTTGTTAGGTGTATTATCTGTTTTGTTAGTTCTATTGTCTGTTTTGATAGTTCTAATTGACTGTTTTGTTAGGTCTATGTCTGTTTTGTTAGTTCTATTGTCTGTTTTGTTAGTTCTAATAGACTGTTTTGTTAGGTCTATTGTCTGTTTTGTTAGTTCTATTGACTATTTTATTAGTTCTATTGTCTATTGTCTGTTCTGTTAGTTCTAATGCTCAGTGTGTTAGTTGTGTTAGTTATTTTGTTAGTTCTATTAACGCTCTTGTTAGTTGCAATGAGAGTTAGTTCCATTAACGCTCAGTGTGTTAGTTCTATGTGTTTTCGTGTTAGTTCTAATGATCAATGTGTTAGTTCTGCACAGTGGCATGCTAGTTCTAATGTGTAGCATGTTAGTTCTATTAGGTACAATGTCTGTTTTGTTAGTTCTATTGTCTGTTTTGTTAGGTCTATTGTCTGTTTTGTTAGTTCTATTGACTATTTTGTTAGTTCTATTAGGTACAATGTCTGTTTTGTTAGTTCTATTGTCTGTTTTGTTAGTTCTAATGCTCAGTGTGTTAGTTCTGTTAGTTCTATTGTTAGTTCTATTAACGCTCTTGTTAGTTCTATTGTCTGTTTTGTTAGTTCTAATAGGTACCATGTTAGATCTATTCAGTAGAACTAACATGAGTTATTGCTCATGATAGAGTTCAAAAAAGGGCGGGAAATTTCCCTCTATTTTTTCCATCAGATCGCATTAATGGGCGTGACTTTCCATGTAGTTTGTGGACCAGACGTCTAGGGAAGATAAGTGGAGGGGTAATTTCGGGTTTTTTTTCAAAATACAATCTCTTTTTTTATACTGCTGACGTGGAGGGGCCTTGAAATATTAAATGGTACTTTTTGGGGCTGAATCACATGGGGCAAAATACAAGGAGCGGGTCACATGAACTTTCTGTTTTTGGGGCCTGGACACAATTTTCCCTACTTTGTAACCCTATGCGTATCATGAAAAAGAAATTTGAAAGTGCTAAATGGATCCGCAGGACCGCATCTATATTCATCTCGATATTTGAATATTTAACCCATATATGTTTATTAGAGGGGTGAATGCCACTTGATACTCACGGAGCACTTAAGAATTCCTTGATAGAAAAAGAGTAAGATGAATATTTGGCTAAATATGATTGAGAAATATCATGAAATTATTCGATTATTGAGTATAACAACATATATACTTGGAATCATGACTCATTAATAAAATTTCGGCAGGAAACTACTCATTTTCCAACTATAATTATTAATGTCACAACTAAATAAAATTAAACACATCGAGATTCAAATGACAACCCGGTGGCGCCAAACTTCTCCTCCATCACCCTCCCAAACCTCTCCGCCACCTCCGGCGTCAAATAGTTCACCCAATCTCCGACCTCCCCCTTCCTGAAAAACGCCCTGTTATCAAACCCCGTCCCCAAACTTCGTCGCCGCCGTCCGATTCACCTCCAAGCCCCTCAAGGCTCTCCAAGCTGCACAGCCCAGTATCCCTCCACCACCCGCCCGCCACTCCTCCCCCGTGAACGGACACCCCATGAACTCCGCCAGCCTCCTCACGCTCCGCCCCCGGCGACCTCTTCAGGTCCCTCGTACCTCATGAACATCACCCTCCCCGGCGCGCCCCTGCTCGCGTCCCAGTACTCGATCACGTTGTCGCCAGAACGGCCCCGACGTGTAGAGCCCGGACAGGAACACCTCGCGAACTCGCCGAGCGGGGCCGCTCGTAGGAGTCCGGCCACGAGGCTGTTGGCGAACTTCCACATGGACACGAGCGTGTCGCATGGGTTTCCGGCAGAGTAGACGATCTTGCACAGCGCCCGCGGGGAGCAGGACGGGGGCGGCAGCAGGGAGTAGGGGATGTGGGTGGCAGAGGCGGCGGGGAGGGGAGGGCGCCGAGGTCGGGGATGCGGTCGTTGGGCGTAGAGCTGGGTACTACGAGGAACGGGACGCATTGGTGGGGGTGAGGGAGAGAGGAGGGACTGGCGGGCGGGGTCGGAGCGGTGGAGGGTGGCGAAGGCGAGGGCCTTGAGCCAGGTGTGCGCGACTTCGTCGGAGGGTGGAGAGGGAGGACAGTCGCCGGGGCGGGGAGGAAGTGGTCGCGGGCCGGCGAGGGTGCCGTGGAGGACGCTGAGGCCGAAGGAGCTGCCGTTGGGGAACCAGAAGCCGTCGAAGAGGGGAGAGGGACAGCGTGGGTCTGGGTGGAGGAGGGGAGGGTGGAGATGAGGGGGTCGTAGGCTGCGGTAGACGGAGGATCTCGGTGCGAGTTCTTGCTTTGTTCTCGGAGGGAAGCATGATTTGTACGGAGGTAGTAATGTTGCCATCGATCGGCAAAAAAATAATGTGTTCGCTTAATTACGTTTTTAATTGTGTGTGTGTTCATCTGTGTGCTTGCTTGGGTAGGATTTATATAGGTAATGCAAGCCAAGGTGGGGTGTTTTGATGAGCACGGATATTATTTATTAAAAGCTATATCGTGTAACTCCTACTTACGTTTAGTACCAAGGGAAAGGGTAGAATTTTGATTAATTGTGCCTCTGGTTGTCGTTTTAATATGATTAATTTCGAGATTAATGTAGTGAACAAAAATTTATTATTATTTTTACTTGGTGCGGTATTTAATGCTATAGACGAAAACATTCAATACTATTTTGGTTAATTTCATACACCTGATCCTAAGCTTTGGAAGCTTTGGGTGTCTCACAAAAAGCCTCGTGAACTTCAAATTTTTATCAACAGATCCCCTAGATAAAAGTTGAAGGACAAATTTTTAAAAACACCCATTTTTCAAATTTAACTAGCAAAACCGACCTTCTAAAAATTAAAACAGCAAAATCGGCCATTTTGGTCGATTTTGCAACGGGGGCTAAAAGAAACCTTGGTCCCCACCATCTCCGTCATCCAAACCATGGTCTCCACCACCTCCTCCTTCTCCTGCCGCGGCGCCTCTTCCGGCGGCGACCTCCGCCTCTCCTCGGACATCTCCGACTGCCTCGACCTCTCCTCCTCCGAGTTCGGATGAGGGAAGGTTAAAGTTCTGGGGGATTTTTGTGAGACGTACAAAGTTCTGCGAGGTTACCCGAGATAAATAAATTTCAAGGGGGCTATATGGAATTAACCCTACTTTTTAATTTTCAAATTCAGACTTCATTCAGACTATGCCAACTTGAAAACTGACATGGGCAACAAATCAGTTATGCATCAATGTTGTTCAAGGCAAATGCATGTGCTAGTTAAGCATCAGCATCAATCAAAAGTGAAATAACAAGGAAATTGGGCACATTTTGCTTGTTGGCAAATACGTTGATGTCATACCCAAGTATTTTCACACGCACACGACATCTTTACATCACATTACATAAACATCTGGTAATCTCATTGCTTTCCATCTGATTTGAACCATGCGAAAAAAAAGTGAAATTTTTTTTTTAAAAATAGAAGGAAATCAGTAAATTTC